ATCATTGATCTGTAATCTACAGTTGGGTGTGAAAGGCCTACCCTGGGCCCAACTCAGAGCTGATGCTCTGTGGAGCATAAAAGAATCAAGCGAGATGAACTTTGCCCTCAGGGGTTCTCCCACTGAAAGCAATTAGAGAACAATTTGCTTCTAGACCAAAAGTGTCTTAAGTGGGCTTTCTTTCTGAGGATGGTGGCTACTCACCACAGGTCACTCTTTGAGGTGACTGGGGTTACGTTTGGGGAACATTTTATAGTATAAAGATGGATTGAACAGCCGTTTGGGAGGAGTTGTGGTAGTGATGTAATCTCATCTTTCATTACTTCACTTATCTCTGCWTGACACTGTTTCCCATAGTGCCTGCACTCTGTAGTAGGAGGGATCCCCTGTCGCCAAAATATGAACTCCAGGACCTACCATTCCACCATTATACTCTATTCCTAAGTCTAAGACTTTTGCCTTTCCAGTTTAGAGATCTCTTTTAAAATATTTACACCCCTTGGGAGAGGTCATACTCTTAGTAGTTCATCAGCAATCAGTAGCTTTAATTACCAGGAATTAATTAAAATCAACTGAAACAAAGACTGGGACCCAGGCAGACACCTGGGGGCAAGGGTGTCTGAAGGGACACACTCTTTCATGACAGGAGAGAAGTGAAGGCAGCAAAAGAAACTTTTCATGCAAATCAGTTTCTGCAGGCAGTGCTGCAGAGACACCTCCTTGCTGATACTGGGCCCATCTGATGGTCCTGTTGGCAGAAGAATGGGGTATAGAGTGGGATAGCCCCAGTATAGGGGCTTTGTAACAGAGGTAGAATTTGAGGGGAGCCTGCAAGGGTTGGGAAGATTGTTTTTGTTATTTTTTGTCTTATTTAAAAAATAACATGCCCAGGGTTAAAAAAAAAAAAAAAGGAAACATTAAAGGAGAAAACAGATCCCTCATAATTTTTCCTGATTGATGGATGAGATGTAGAGAAGAGTAAATTTCTTTTCTTTCCTTTTTTTTTTTTTTGATGGTACTGGGGATTGAAYGCAGGGCCTCATTATTAGGCATTGGCTCTACCATTGAACTACAGCCTCAATCCCTCTATCATCTTTTTTTTTTTTTTTAGGAGTCTATTTTTTTWTTTTTTTTTTTTATTGGTTGTTCAAAACATTACATAGTTCTTGATATATCATATTTCACACTTTGATTCAAGTGGGTTATGAACTCCCATTTTTACCCCRDATACAGMTTGCAGAATCACATCAGTTACACTTCCATTGATTTACWTATTGACATACTCDTGTCTGTTGTATTCTGCTGCCTTTCCTATCCTCTACTGTCCCCCCTCCCCTCCCCTCTTCTCTCTCTACCCCCTCTACTGTAATTCATTTCTCCCCCTTGTATTCCTCTATCATCTTTTAACTTCATTTTTTGTCTTTCTGTTTCTCAGGATAAATTGTCTTCAACTCATAGGTCCRTTTGGGTTGGATTAATGAACTGGAAATACTCATTTCTGAATGTTTTCTCTTTTGTTAGACTTCTAGGCTGTTTTAAAAAAAAGGCTTTTCCCAAGATGGAATCAGTGGAGAAGAGATTTTTTGGTGTAATTAGCCTCTTTATTTTTTTTTATTTTTAATTTTTTTGGTACAAATCATGTCTTAAGATTGGTGTTTATGATGTATTCATTAATTTCTTCTTTTAGTTATAGTTAGACAATACCTTTGTTTTATTTATTTATTTTTATGTGGTGCTGAGGATTGAACCCAGGGCCTGGCATGCCCTAGGCGAGTCCTCTACCACTGAGCCACAACCCCAGCCCTTAATTAATTTCTTGAATAAATATTTGAGGGTATGCTGTGTACCAGGTGCTGTTCCAGGCACTGGGTAGGGAACAAAATTAAAATATTCCTCTCAAGGAACTCACTCTAGTGATTGTGAGTTTATAGACAATGAACAAGAAAAATATTAAGGATGAGAGATGGTGGAAAATATATGGAGAAAAATAAAGCAGGGATAGTGGATGGGGGTTTAGTAGACAGATTTCCTATTTTATTGGAGAAGTCAAACTAGAGAAGATGGTGCACACCTATAATCCTGGCTACTCAGGAGGCTGAGGCAGGAGGATTGCAAGTTCAAGACCAGCCTGGGCAATATAATGATAGCACATCTGAAAAATTAAAATAAATAAATACAATAAATAAGTCAGAGAAAGCTGGATCTGGTGGTACATGCCTGTAATTCCAGTGGTTTGGGAGGCTGAGGCAGGAGGTTCTTGAGTTCAAAGCCAGCCTCCACAATTTAGCAAGGCCCTAAGCAACTGAGAGAGACCCTGTCTCTAAATAAAATATAAAAAAAGGGCTTGAAACCAGTACTTTAAAAAGGGGTGGGGGGCACTGGGGATGTGGTTCAGTGGTTAAGTGCCCTTGGGTTCAATCACTAGTTTAAAAAAAAAAAGAGAAATATCACTGATGAAAAGATATTTGAGTTGAGGTCAGAAGGAGGTAAGAGAGAGAGAGCCATGCAAATAGGGAGGACTAATCAAAAGCCCTGGAGGCCAGAGTACTTAAGGTGCTTAGGAATAGTGTGAGGGAAAGAAGGTACAGGAGCAGAGGCCCACCCTGAAGATGGTCTGCTTCCTAGGTGTTTCTATTGTGCTTGCAGGGCTGAGGATCACTGGGTTGAAGGGTTAAATCAACCCTTCTCTGGATATTTGATGGAGAGATTTAAATGGGTAACTGAGTAGGAGGCTTCAACCCTTTTAATGGGAAGATTATTTAGGGCCCTATTACTTAGGAATAACAGGAATCTTCCACAGTAATAAAAACTATTTTTTTTCAGTTTATGTACCGTTTCTAATTTGATTGCCTCATGTCTCTGGGCCTCAGTTTCCTTGTTTGTAGAGTAAGTGGCTTAAATTCAATAGTTTCCTAAAGTCTCCTTGGCTCTGAAAAYCCTTGATGTTTCTGATCTTGGAAAAACCTCTAATCTAGAATACTGTTGTAGAACAATGTTTTCTAATCCTAGTCTTACAACATGCTAAGGTATGTCATAATTATGGCAAGGGCTAGAGCAAATGTCTCAATACCAAATTGAAGGAAAATTTGTGCCCTATCTAGTATGGGAAGATGAAGGTATTGGGAAATGTGAAATGTGAAACTGACCTCCCAGTTTAGAGCAAGTACAGGACAACTTGGTCCTTGGAGGCAGGCAGGAGCCCTGAGGTCTCATTTGAGAGCTAGTCCTAGCTCACTCACTGGTAAGACCATGTGAAATAGAAATAGTTGTAAACTGTAAAGCTCCCATACATCTACCCATGAATATGTAATTAATCTGGGAGAAGAAGCCATCCTGGGTTAGTGAAGCCTGATGCTCAGGATTGTTAGCTCCTCTCTGCAGACTAGCTGCATTTACTATCTGCATAGCCTTACAGAATCTTATTGCTGGAGGCACTGAAGTGATCCTGGAGTAAATAACCAGGTACTCTCTTTGGAGCACCTCTGAACTTATTTGCTATTGAACAGTAGACCCAAGACACATCCAGGCTCCTCTCATTTAGACATTATAGTGTCTGCTCATTAGTTTATGTTTTGAAATGTGAAGATGTGAATAAGAAAAGGAAAACTTCAGAAAAGTTATCCCTATTTCCCTTCTGTAGAATTGGGATAACTGGCTTCCTTCTCTTACCTTCCAAATTTTTCTGTTAATATTTTCTATATCTCACTGGGAATGTAACTCAGGGGTAGAGCACTTGCCAGRGGGGTGGAATTAAAAAGTCTCTATCTCCAATTTAGAACCCAAACTAAATGCTAGTCTGGCAAGGTTAAGACAAAGATGAGGTTAAGAATGCAGGATTAAAATAAAAAAGGGCAGAATTAAAAGTTCAAGGGTAAGATTTTGATTCTGTTATTTGTGAATACATATACCTGACAGCATTAGCCTGTCTTTCTGAACATTGACCAGTTAAATCTGAATCTTGATAGGTCATTGGCAAGGATTAGTAGTTTCCAAAATTCCCAAGGTGATTCTCAATTTGGTCACAACTAAAAACTATCTACTTCAGAAAAGTGGGTTCTGCCATTCCCCATTTTATTTTATTTTATTTTATTTTATTTTATTTTATTTGGTAACGGGGATTGAACCCAAGGGTGCTTAACCACTGAGCTACATCCCTAGCCATTTTTATTTTTTATTTTGAGACAGGGTCTTACTAAGTTGCTTAGAGCTTAAGTTGCTGAGGCTGGCCTCAAACTTGTGATTCTCCTATTTTAGTCTCCTGAGTTGCTGGGATTATATTATTATGCACCATGGTGCCCTGCAGCTTTTTCATTTCTTTTCTTATTCTCATCTACTCAGTGCTTACCCCCTTTGCCTCTCCCCCACCTTATTTGATTTTCTCAGCTTACCTGCCACCTGTCCCTGTCCCCTGACTCTGTTTCCTCAGCTTTATCAGGCATCCTGAGCACTGGCGGAGAAGCTGTGTAGAGGGGTAAACTGGTTTCACTTGCCTTGCCTCTCTGTCCTCTGTGCATGCTTCCCATCAGTGAGCTACCAGGGCACACTGACGACATGTAAAGGAAAGCCTGCTGGCTACTGGGGTTGGTGGCAGAGTACTTCATAAACACATGCATTTGCTGTGTGAAAGGCAGTATGGTAAGAGCTTTACAAATATTAACTCACTGAATCTCTTTAATAGCCCCATTTTATATATGGGGAAGCTGACATGCAGGTGCAGCATCTTGCCCAATATTAAATGGCTAGTAAGCAGYTGAGCTGGGATTTGAATCTAGGTGGAGTCTGCTCTGAATTTCTGCATGATGATAGTGGGAGGGAAGCAGATCTGGGGCTGGGAAGAGTTTATTCTTTGACTGCCTTTGGGGCCTGCTTTTAATTGTTTGGAGATTTTTCTCAGAGTCTTCCCTGGAATGATTATTATTAGTTTTTAAACTCTCTTTCCTAACTTTAACATTTACCTTCAAACTCATTTAAAAAACATTTTGTTTTTCTTCTTTCCGTAGGTGGTGTTTGGACACTAGACCATGTGCCTAGGTAGTTTTTCCTTTCTCCGCAGCTCTACTCCCCCAGCAACGCTCACCACACCCTTGTTTTGAGAACCTCACTAAGGTATGATGTCTAGGCTGACCTGAGCTGGCCTTGAAGAGCTGAGTTTTGGACACAAGAGAGCTTTTCTGTTCCTTGGGTTTTGTTTTGTTTTGGTGCTAAAATACAACAAAATTTGTCATTTTAAAGTATACAGTTCAGTGGCATTAAGTATATTAATTCACATTTGTGCAACCATTACCATCATCCATCTCCATCCCATATTGAAACTCAGTATACATCAAACAACTCTACCCTACACCCCTGGCAAACACCATTCTATTCTGTTAGTTTACCTACTCTAGGGATGTCATATAAGTGGAATCATTCAGTATTTGCTTATTATGTCACTTAGCATAATGTCTGCAAGGKTCACCCATGTTGTAATATGTGTCAACTTCCTTCCTTTTTTTAAAAAATGGTGCTGGTGATTGAATCCAGGGCCTCACACATGCTAGGCAAGTGCTCTAGCCACAACTCCAGCCCCATGGCTATACCATTTTATATTCCCAACAACAGTGCACAAGGGTTCCAGTTTCTCACATTCTCATCAACAGTTTACTATTTTCTGGTGATTTTTTTTTTAAAATAGCCATCMTGATGGGCGTAAATATCCTCGGTGTTACCTAGTTGGACCCATGGAGTCCACCCAATAGGCTAGTTCCCTGTTGTCCTAGAATGTATAAAGTAGAAAAAATAATTTGACAGAGACTTCCATGTATTCCTCACCCTAATTCAACAGTTAATAATTTATGACCAATCTTGTTTGATTTATGTTCCCTCCCTGCTTTCTTCTTGCCCTGTGTTATTTTGAGGCAAATCCCAGACACCATATCATTGTATCTGTAAGCATTTCACTATGTATCTTAAAAGGGGCTTTGTTTTGTTTTGTTGAGATGTGGTCTCCAGGTTGGCCTAGAATGCCTGTTTCAGTCTCCTGACTAGTTAGAACTATAGTCACATACCATTGTTAGGATAAGGGCTCCTACTAATAAATTTTTTTCTGATGATAGAAAGGCACATAGAGTTGTACCTTTGAGAAGATTATTCCCTATCATTCTCTTGAATCAACAGGGACATATGCAGAGGGCACACATGAACACATGTGAACATTATATCTATTGCCATGTTGGGTTGTTCGGGGAAAGGCTGCCTTGGCTGGGGCCCTGATTTCCTGCAGAAAACTGACTGCCCTTAGATTGAAACAGTCTTTTTGGAGAGGCCATCCAGGTCTCTGTGAAGAGAAGAGGGAGGAAGAAGGGAATRAGGAAGAGAGTGAGAATGGGAGTAAGTCAGTAATACACCATGGAGAAAGGAATAGGGGGAAAAAGGATGAGAAAGAGAAGAGTACAGATGGTTCCCAGCTTTCTAGTTTGACTTTACAATGGTTTGAAAGTGCTGTGCATATATGCACACTTCCAGTTTTGAAATTTGATTTGTGTCTCTGGCTGTTGATATGTGATTTGCTGGGCAGTTCCCAGTCACAATTCCTAGTCAGCTATGAGATCATGAGAATGAACCACTGATATTCTTCAGTGTATTGTGTTGTTAGACTATGAGGTTTGATGTCTTAGTTTGTTTTCTGCTTCTATAACAAAATACCACAGACTGGGTAATTTATAGACAATAGAAATTTATTTAGCTTATGGTTCTAGAGGCTGGGAAGTCCCAGGATCAAAGGGCTACATTTGGTGAAGGCCTTCTTGCTGTGTCATAACACTGATAAAAGGGTTAGTGCGCATATGTGTGAGATACAGAATCTGGCCGAATTCATTCTTTTTATCAGGGAACTCACTCCTGCCATCATGAATCCATTCCTGAGGGTGAAACCCTCATGGTCTAATAAACTCTCAGAAGCCCCACCCCTTAATGCCATTACAATGTGATTTCTTTTCTTTTTGTCTTTTTTTTTTTTCTTTCTTTCTTTTTTCTTTTTTTTTTTTTTTTGTGGGGAGGCAATACTAGTGATCAAACCCAGGGTCACTTAACCACTGAGCCACATCCTCAGCACTTTTTTATTTATTTTGAGTTAGGGCCTCGATAAGTTGCTGAGGCTGGCTTTGAACTCACAATCTTCTTGCCTTAGCCTCCTGAGCTCCTGGAGGCATGTGCCATCATGCGCAGCCTAAGTGCATTTTGACTTACAATATTTTCAATTTACAATGGGTTTCTAGGGGTATAACCCCATCGTAAGCTGAGGAATATATTCATATATGAGAGGACAGAAAGAGAGGAGAAGAAGAAGAAGAAAGGGAATGAGAAAGCAGAAGACCTGGGAGAGAATTTCTCCATTAGCCCCTTGCTTCACCAGCTCCTAACTCATGTAGAAATCKAAAGTAACCTGAGATACCTGAAGACTAATGGCATGCTCCTTTTTTTCACCTACAATCTTTTCACTTTTCGAATCTTTGGGACTGTCATTTCCTTGTGGTAGATGAGACTAGTGGTGGCTCAGAGTCTGGCAGAATGGCCATTTTCTCTTCTCAGGAGTTGAGGTCTGATTCCCAGCAGGTCTGAGGCTGTTAGGCTTTTTGGTTAAATCTGGGAGTCCTTACTCCCAAGAGATGATGCCCACAGGATGGCATGTGAGCAAGAAGAGTCCTGTACCTCTTTCAAGTCTCTGGGTCCTGTTCTCACAAATTGGAGTGCCCAAAATAATGATTAATCAGTTTCAAAGTAAGGAAAGGTGAAAGGAGTGAAGATTATAAATTATCCATATTTATCTAAATTCTCAGGTCTGTAAATTTTGCTGCCTATACCTAGTTTCTACTTCTCTGTTAACCTTGTAGTTGGGTATAATCCCAACCCCCTCTAGTTCTCTTTTTTTCTTCTAATATAACAACTTTATTGAGATATAATTCACATATCACACAATTTCCCCACTTTTTAGTCTGTTCACAGAATTGTATCCCCATGTCTTAAGATTCAAGACTCTGCCTTCCTCTTCCCTATGGTTTTTAGAGCTAGCTTTCCCATTCCACTGGTGTCACACTCATCAACACAGATCTCCTTATTGTGGGGGCCTTGGCCAGGAGGCATTTTCCACTGATAAAATATTTAAATCTAGCCAGGTACAATGGTGCCAGCCTGTAATGCCAGCAGTTTAGGAGGCTGAGGCAGGAGGATTGCAAGTTCAAAGCCAGCCTCAGCAACTTAGCAAGGCTCTAAGCAACTTAGCAAGAACCTGTCTCAAAATAAAAAATRAAAATGGCTGTGATGTGTCTCAGTGGTTAAGAGCCCCTGGGTTCACTCTCTAGTACCCACTCCAAAAAAACAAAAAAATCTAATAAGTCCTTGAAGGGGCCCAGGGTACATTTGAAAGGGCTACTTTTGTGTAGGTCCCTTCTCACTGCTGAGGTCCCATCAAGGTCTCAGTATTTATAAAAAATTTTAAAGGGCTGGGGGTGTAGCTCAGTGGAAAAGCATATGTTTAGCATGTGTGAAGCCCTGGGGTTAATCTCCAGTATATATGCTTGAGTGCGCATTTGCGCGAGTGCGTGCACACGCAAGTTTTAAAAGCTAAACACAGTATGTTGCATATTTGCCAAACGTTTAACCTGCTTGGGAATCTGTGAGTGTCCTTGAACAATCTTAGCTCTCAATAGATGAACCTGTCAAATTCTAATGGTGGATATCTTCTAGTAAACAGAATGAAACTTATAAACAGACAGTAAAGCAATGAACAATAATGTATGTCCAGTGGTGATTCATGCCAGGAAGAGAAACAAAGCATAGTAAAGAGCTAGAGATTGAGGGTGGGGATTGGTATCTCATGTAGGCTGGTAATGGAAAGTGCTAGATAAAGTGACATAGGATTAAAGACCTTAAGGACCTGAGGGAGTGAGCCACAGAGATCTGAGGCAAGAACCTTTCAAGTAAAGGAAATAGTGAATTCATTGGTCCTGAGGCAGGATGTGGCCAGCATGCTTGAGAAATGGTGAGGAGTCTTTGTGTGCTGGGAAACACTGGATATAAGGGAGGCATGTGGGAGATAGGCAGAAAAAAATGGCTTTTACTTGGGRGAAATGTGACAGCTTTGGAGGATTTTAAGGCAGGGTTGTCCATGATTTGATATAGGTGTATTTTTTTGTTTTTGTTTTTGTTTTGCAGTGATGGGATTGCATTCAGGGCCTCATGCATGCCAGGCAAATGCTCTACCATGAGCCACATACCCAGCTCCCTGACTTAGGTTTTCAAAGCAACATTTTGGCTGCTTCAGAATGACTGGTTGAGGCAAGGGCAGAAGCAATGTTACCAGTTAGCAGGCATTGGTGGGAATCCAGAAGAGATGATGATGGTGCGAGATGGCGAAAAGTGGTTAGATTTGGGTATATTTTGAAAGTAGAGTTCACAGATTTGCTTGCGGATTAGATGAAGGGTTTGAAGGAAAGAAAGGTTTTGGCCTAAGGAACCAGAAGGATGGCAGATTAGTGTTTGGAGCCTTGGTAGGGCTGGGCTCTCAGGTATTCTTTAGTCAGGTGAAACAGCTTGGGCTCACACACAGAGGCAGGAGAAAGCGAGAGGCCCCAGTATGATTAGGATAAGAGGTACCCTGGGAAATGGCTGGAGTTGGGTGGAGACCAGATCAGAATGGAGCTCCCTGTGAGACTGAGCAGTTGACCTCTATCTTGATGATGGGGATTTTGAGCAGGGACATTTTTAATCCAATGTGTGTTTCACAGCAACCATTCTGGCAGAGTGCATTGGAGGAATTAAACTGGAGCAGGGAGAAGACAACTGAAAAATGTTGTTTTGCCTGGGCCCATTGGGACAGCTATTTCCTGTACACTGCTGGGAATATTTTGGGCCATTTTTTGCTAATGGTTTTGAGCACCAGGTGTCTCATGAAATGAAACACTGGACACCGACTGACTAGGAACATCTGTGACTTGGGGCCACCTGACCTGTGAGCAGGCCTGGCTGTACTCAGGGTGGGGGAACTGTGATGTGTACATGGTGGACTTCTACTTTTCCACATTAGGAGTTAGTATATGTGTGGATCCATTAGCACTAGGTTAATTTGC